GTAAAGCAATAATAAAAAACGCGACGCGACTTTCGTGCCACGCCGCCCGATTGGTCTGTGGGCCGACCGACATACAAGTAGTACCTCAGAAAATAAATCAAAAAAAGGGGAAACATCATAGGATTTGAGAAGAAAGTCAAGTGAAAATATTAAACCGAAACTTAAAACAAGCTAATTTGACAATAATAACAGTTTGGCCCAGCGGACTGGATTTTCAGATTCTACTGTGGCGCTTAACGTGTTAATGTTTATCAGTACTCTTACACACATATCCTCATATTTTACGAGTATAGGCAGCAAATAAAATGCCTTATTGCAAGAAAAACGTGGGTGATAGAAAAAAACGAATGCTTTTTCCGACTTTTTGGGAACGTTTTACGTAATAACCACCTAGTCTTGTCCATGTCACGAAAAATTATTTTAATTTTGTTCACCAGTGTTATGCATGGGAAGCCGCGCCACAGCAAGTCAAAGTTAGCGTAGAATGTGCCAATCAAGATGTCGAAAACATGCGTCACTGCGTAATCTTCATCTCGAGGACAAGGCTATAAAAGATGCCGCTGCCGCTGTAAAAGCAAGTGTACAAGTGGAAAGTGTGCTTGTAATGCTGTTGATGTACTGTGTAACTCTAAATGATATTCAAGTTTAAGTTGTTCAAATAACTAAATAATCCTTTCTGTATTACTTTCTTGGCCTGATGAATGTTTCAGTAATGTGTATTAATCAAATTGATATATCCGCACGAATTACTCAAAAATTGTAGAGTTCAGGTGTAATTAGGGAAAAAATCTTCAGAGTGTTATATTGTCTATAGCCGCATGAAATATTGGAATAGTAAAGTTCAGTTACCGCTACGACCAAAAATCATGTTTGAACTGTTATACCCGCATGAAATACTTTAAAATTGTGAAATTCACTTACAGTTACAAATAAAAATTATGTTTTCAATTGTACACCTAGTTCTAACCGGCTTAAACTAGTTGTCACCGCATTTCGGGCTTTAGGCGTAACATATTCGCAGCAAAGAAAAAAGTAAACTGGGAGGCAGACCCATCTGTAACATTCCAATTTTTTTAGTAGATACAATGATCCCTGAGCTACATTTTGTCCATACCACTGTTAAATCCAATTCTAATCAAGCTCCATCCTGTCGGCTTCAATCTCACTATGGCCAGTAATCTAATTTGAGTGCATTGATTTAAATATTCGATAATAGAAGACATTTTCTAAGGATTCTAGGAGAAGCTTGCGATTAAGTGTTTTCGTCGAGGTTAAATGAGATATGCAAATATCTCGATAAAGTTGCAGTTATTTGGAAAGTGCAGCAAACTCAGCGGACTTATTACCATATTATCAAAATGAAAGGGAGCCAGCCTTTAGAGGAGTTAATTGAACTTCATTTCTTAATTTAACTTTATGAGATCTAAAAATTCTGTTGGCATTGTTAATTGTAAAAAACTACTTTATTCCCTCCACCTCTTACAATACATTAACTACTACTATACAGGGTGTTTCAGTTTATTGTTGCATAACTTTAAGATTCGATAGAACTTAAAATTAATGCATAAAGCCTATATAAGCATGGGTCGAAAAATGCGTGGCTTCCGAAATACAGGGTGTTTAAATTTATTTTCTAAAATAGTTTTTTTTAAATATTTCGAACAATATTTGACGTATAACAGTGAAAATTGGTATACAAGGGTTTTTTGGTACGACAAAACGAACCATGGGCATAGTTTTACTGTAGCCGCTAGAGGTCGCTCTCTACTGTACCTGTAGTGTATTAAAATGATTGAAAAATTTTTCTTAGTGCAATTTTTTGCTTTTTGAATAAAAAAACTGATTTTTCGTACTTTTTAACATAAAAAAGCTCTCTTGTGACTTTTCGTTATAGTTAGCCGTTTTTGAGATATTTCGATTTTTAAGGTTCGACGCATTTTTAATTATTTATGGGAAAATAATATTTTTTTTACATTTCGTTTAGATTTTGTTTTTAAACACAGCAATAACTCCTAACTCCAAATAAACACAAAAAACAGAATATTACTTTGTTTAATTTTCCAATATTATTTTTAACAAATTAAATTAATTATTTACAACTAAAATGCTATTGGATAGTTAGGACAAACATACAAAATCTAAAGTAGTTGCTCGAAATGTAGACCCAATTGTTCAATACACAATGCACATCTACAAATGATCGAACATGGTATATAGCATTATTCAAATAAGGCCTTATTTCATCACATGCATTCCTGATTCTGTCTATTAGCATATCTCTTGTGGTTACGGGAGTCTGGTACACTTTTTCTTTTAGAAATCCCCACACAAAGAAATCTAATGGATTTAGGTCAGGGGATCGTGGAAGCCAGGCGTCAGGTCCTCCACGGCCGATCCATCTTTCTGGATAATTTTCATCCAGCCAGTTTCTAACTATTCTCGAATAATGAGCTGGACAACCATCAAGCTGGAACCAGACCAATCTTTTTAAATCTAACATAACATCATCCCACATACTTGCATGTTCAGCCTTTAAAAATTCCAAGAAGGTCGCAGCATTTAACCTTGCAGGCAAAAGGTAGGGTCCAAATAGTCGATTACGGTAGATACCAATCCACACGTTCACACTAAAGTCATGCTGAAAATTTCTTTCCCGAACTGCATGCGGATTTTCATGCGACCAAATAGGTTGATTATGAAAGTTTACCACTCCACGTCTAGTGAAGCATGACTCATCGGTCCATAAAGCGTTACTTAAAAACTCCCTAATATTATCAGTTCTATCAAGAATCCACTGAAAAAATGTGATTCTTTGTTCTCCGTCTCCTGGCTGTAGTCCTTGCACAGGTTGTAAATGGTAAAGACGTCTATGGTCATTTCTAAGAACACGGTGAACATGGCTTGCTGAAATTCACAAGGCACCAGAAACTCTCCTAACACTTGTGGTCGGATCTCTATCAAACTCACGCAGAATCATAAGGGTAAATCTGCGCTGACGAACATTTATGTTTTGATCCATTTGGAGATTTCCAAAACCATTTTCAATTATCTGGCGATGCACTCTTACAAATACTGAGCGAGTTGGATGTCGTCTGTTTGGAAATCTTCGTGCGTATTCTCTGGCTGCTTCTACTGCGTTTCCATTTACAAAGCCATACACAAAATGAATAACCGCTAACTCTTGATTGGAGAATAAAAATGGCATTTTTATAAAACTTACAAAAAAAAACAAGTAAAAGAAACTAAATTTCGTGCATTCACAATTGCAAAAAAACGTTTCAGGTTTCAACAGACAACAAAACTAACTGTCAATTAATTGACGTTTACCCTTTTTCTGCTTTCAATTTCAAAAATATTTGCAGGCACAGCCTACTTCTAAAAATTATCGAGATACTGACTTTTTAACGTTATTTTATAATAAATAATTAGGAATGCATCGAACCCTAAAAATCGAAATATCTCAAAAACGGCTAACTATAACGAAAATTCACAAGAGAGCTTTTTTAAGTTGAAAAGTGCGAAGAATCAGTTTTTTTATTCAAAAAGCAAAAAATTGCACTAGGAATTTTTTTTCGGTCATTTTAATACACTACAGGTACAGTAGAGAGCGCCCTCTAGCGGCTACAGTAAAACTATGCCCATGGTTCATTTTTTCGTACCAAAAAACCCTTGTATACCAATTTTCACTGTTGTACATCAAATATTGTACGAAATATTTAAAAAAAAACTATTTTAGAAAGTAAATTTAAACACCCTGTATTTCGGAAGCCACGAATTTTTCGACCCATGTTTATATAGACTTTATGCATTCATTTTAAAAGTTCTATCGAATCTTAAAGTTATGCAACAATAAACTGAAACACCCTGTATAGTCAGCTAAAGATAAAGAAAACAAATCTCCGAAATGAATATATATATATATATATATATATATATATATATATCACGTATCATAAATATCTCGGAATTGTTTTAGTCTGCCACCTTCGTTGGGATGAGCATATCCAATACATTAAAGAGAAATTTAGATTTCTGTTATATAAATACATATATTAGAGACAAATTTTTAATGAAACCGAATTAACATTTTATATGCAACATAGTTGAATGCCACATAATCAATGGAATTATTATCTATGGATCAACGAATAATAACGATGTAAATTCCTTACAAATAATTCAAAAACTATTCATAAAAAGAATCCACAACAAACCTTTACTGTATCCTTCTAAATCGCTGTTTATAGAATCAAAACTTTTAGATATGAAAAAATATTTTGGTATAATGATATACTAGAGTTCCATTACTACACTGGATCATTTTTAAAAATGCTGGATATGATACTATAAATAAATATACACAAATGATTATCGCAACACCAGAAAAAGAAATAGTGTTTGAAATCTTATCTATATAACATACTTAGATCCAAAATTATGTTATAACTTACCAAAATATATTAGAAAAAATCGAATATCATTATTACAAATAGATTTACACGAGTGGCTATTGAAAAGTGATATAAACATGATGTAATTTATAAAAAAACTGACTTGAAGATATCTTATTTCATTGCTAATCTACGGTTCAAAATTAATGTACATATTACATTTATATTATACAGATGTTTTTGTCCTGTCATTTTTTGGTAACTGCTATGTTATATGTATATTGTGTTAACATACAAAGATATATTCCTTTTGTGTCATATCAATTTGTTCACATATTGTAATTGATGTGAATAAAATATTATTATTATTATTACTATTAGTATTATTATTATAAGACATTTCCGGAGGATACTATTTATTTTTACTGCAATGATGTTTGTCAGAAGTGAGATACATTACATGAGCTTTTTATGTGACTGGCGAATCTACTTAGAATTATTCGAACAGATTCCCATCAAGTTGCTCTAGATATCTGCCATCTACACCGAATAGTTTCCCGAGATTCCTGAAATCCTATTTCCGAAATTAGGAATCGTTGTAGTACATACCTTGCAAGCCTCCAATGTTGAACGCCTTCGCTCTCAGCACTCTTCCGAATTCCCCCTCCCCTAGAGTCTGCTCGATAACAAGCTGATCCCTCGGGAACTCCCATTTGGCATCGGGCTACAAAGAACGCCAATTAGCGATTGGTACATCTTATAGGCCAGTGAAATTAGCAATGGAAGATTTGTAATTTAGAGTGATGGACGCAAAGTGGTTTTGGCTTCAGTTCATCACTTTACCGATTTTCCATTTTACAGGGTGGACAACTCAGAATGTGAGGTATTCAATCGTAGAGGCTTGCGACTTGAACAGTCGTTACTAAAACTGGGGGGTGTAACTGCAATCTTGAATCTAAGGAAGTGATGTTTCTGTGAATTTCGCTAAAATAGCTGAAGAAAAAAATACCTGATGTTTAAAGTCGGGGATAATGTGAAATTTTTTGATTGGCAATTTTTCTTGTATCTCTAAAGATAAGGTGCTGGGGGTACTCAAAGCTTTCCGTAAAAAACTGTTTCAGTCGATTTTGACCAATTTGGGCAAATTGAAAACAGCTATTTTTGAGCTAAAAATATCACAATACTTGAGGTTTTCTTAGTTTCACATGTGGTCGCTAGTGGGCTTTTTTTACATTCCGACAGAGATGGATAATTTTCTCAAAAAAATTAAATACATTGGTATGATTTTTTTTATGAAAAAGTAGCTAAATGATCTCTGAACAAGCTCGAGGAAGCCGCATCTTGATATCTTGTTTATCTACCCCTGAGAGGCTTCAGGAATGCATTGGACGTGATCAATAGCATAAGCATAAATAGGTACTTTTTTGGCCACAACTTAAGGAAAAAAAATTCCAGAAAAATTAGTTTAAAAATAAAAAATTAAGCGACCTCCGTGTAAAAGCTTCCTTGGCCTAAATTTTAGGTTGGGGACAAGAAATCGAGATGTTTTTACGAGCTTGTTTATACATATTTTATCTACTTTTTCATCAAAAGAGATGATACCAATGCATCCAATGTTGTTGTAAAAATTGACCAGTTCTGCCAGAATGTCGAAAAAAACCCGCTAAAGGTACTAACAAAACTCCAAATATAACATTTTGTAGCCCAAGAATACCTCTTTTCAACTAGCCCAAATTTGTTGAAATCTGCTCAGCCGTTTCGAAGACTTTGCGTGGCTCTTGAATACCTCCCACCACTTTAGTCTTAGAGGTACAGCAAAAATTGTCGAACAAAATTCAGATCATCCCCGAATTTAATGATCAGGTATTCTTTATTGAGTTAATATAGCGGAATTCACAGTCTTCATTTGCTTAGATTCAAGATTGCAGTTACGCCCCCTAGAGGCCGTTTCAGAAACTTGAAAATATTTTCCAGTGTTTTCTCTTGGCCGTCTTAGTGATAACTGTTTTTGGCGCAAGCCTATACGACTCAGTAAGTAAGTAAGTTTCATTAAATTAAATATTTAAAACACACATGACAATAGCGCGTCGGTTTTTCATCACTCTTATCGAACCGGCAATCGATCGCAAACAGTAACAGAGGTTAGTTATCGTTTTGCATAGATAAACTACTTTATCGTTTTTTCGAGCAGAGCATTGGGCGTGTTGTTTTGTTTTTGTTCGCGTACGTCGTCGTGTTTATTTACAATGTTCTCAAATCTTGAGTTCGCCGACATGTTGTTAGTTTACGGTGAAGCTCGCCAGAATTCAAATCTTGCAGCTCAAATTTATCACGACAGTGTCCGCAGCTGTTTTTTGCCATCCATTCAGGTTTCAAACGTTTTGCCGCGCGGATGGTGTGCTTTCAAACTGCTTGAATGGATTGGTCGCACGAAGAAACGTTTCGGATTCTAGAATTATTTCAAAAGGAACCGATAATTTGGGATTCCAAACATTAATTCCACAAAAATAACCAAGAACTAAACGGTGCATGGACGAAATTACTCTAAGACATGTGTAGACCTCCAACAGAACTAAAAAATAAGAAAATTTCTCCCATGGCCAGCTTTAGCGAGCAACTTGCGTGCAAAACACAATCAATGACATCCGGCGCAGATGATATTTACAAGCCTGTGTTGGTGTATTACGATGTTATGAAAGCATTTTTGGCGTATATTTTTGCCAAATTAATTGCGTGATAGTAGAAGCTCGGTAAGCAAAGACTTGTCGCCGCTAAAACTTTGACATCCTCCATTGTTGCTAGCCCAAAGACAACTGAACTCACCACGACGGTGTAAACAGGAAGCTCATCGACCATCGATCACGCGAGGTGCGGACCGAGACGCGAGGCGAGGGACGAAGCGAGAGTGTAAACTACGTATTAGAACTGTAGTGTTGCCCTACTTGGGTTGAGTCTGTGGACTTTACATTTAGACTTTATAGACCTTATGCAATTCCTTCGGAATGGCAACAGTCCTTGTGTTGTGATGAACCCACATTCATCAGTTAGTTTGTTGTTAGTGGTTCTGTCTGCTTAGCTGTCGAGTATTCAACACTTCTTTATTGGGCTGTGACAACCGTTAAATGTCAACAATGTCATCAGTCGCCAATTTTCTATCCGTGCGAGGTCAGTAAGCTACTGGTCGATTGGGTGCACATTTGACGGGTCAAGTAGACTGTAATGTCATTTAACTTGATATACAGGGATTAAATACAGGGTGTAAACGTTATGACAAAACACTTTTTCGCGAAGTTGTGCTTCAGTTGATATTGGACCAGCCCCATAAACCATCTCTTTAAGTTCTCCCCAATACCAGAAAACCATCGGATTAAGGTCAGGAGTTTTTGCCGGCCATTTTCGAGGATCAGGAGCATTTCGACCGATCCAGCGATTTGGATAATGTTCACTCAAATACTGAATGATGCCTCTCAAAGTGTGTGGTGATGCCCCGTCATGAAGAAACCACAAATGTCTCCGTTGTAATGGCATGTTGCCTAAGGTATGTTCCAAAAGTTCTGGTAGGTTATTGGCTAGAAAGCTAAGGTCTCCTTCTACTGACAAAATCTGAGCTGCAAGATTTGAATTCTGACAAGCTTCACCGTAAAATAACAACATGTCGGCAAACTCTTGATTCGAGAACATTGTAAATCAACACGACGACATACGCGAACAAAAACAAAATAACATACTGACCACTGTTACCGTTTGCGATCGATTGCCGGTTCGATAAGAATGATGATAAAGGACGCGCTGTTGTCATGTGTGTTTTAAATATTCAATTTGAAACTTACTGACTACAAATTTTCGTTTAACTTGGAAAAACTTAATGTCACTTATTTGTTAATTACCCAATTTAAAAACGTTTTAGATTATTCAATAATGACTACCATAACGTTTACACCCTATAGAAGAAAGAATATGGACAGACTGGGATCCAGAAAAAACTGAAGGAAACAGCATTCAGTCAATATTAAATCTCCAACTAGCGTTAAGGGCGACAAGCTACTTATGAGGCAGTTCCGCCCCTCAGATATGAAAAAAAAATATATGGAAAAAATAAACGAAATTGCTTTGTTCTGATAGCTTATTTACACTCGCGTACGAGTGCGAGACAAGAGTGTTAATAGACGCTCGCGTCATAACATTTACGCCCTGTATATTAAGGAATTTATGATAGAAATAATTTGACTGTACTGTTTTATTTGATAGTGCCGCCTTGATGTGATATGCACATACCACATTGAGCTCCACAAATATCCCATTATCGCATCACTCGCAACATTACACAGACACCAGAAATCTTAATGAAGGTCACTTTGCCAGGTAATGATGTGATAACATGGCGCTTAAGTGTGAAACCTGATAATGACGTTCATAAAATTTAATTAGTCAGGAATCTGACTAACCCTGGCAAAGGTACGAATTTCAATGTAGCATGAGAAAAGGTGAGACTGGGTAGAGTGTCGCGATACCTGCCAGGTAGTAATGTATCAGTATCCAAATAAAGCACACATACAAACTTTGAACATTAGAAAAATGTCAGGTTTGAAGTGCGTATAAGTGAAATCTAAACAAAATTAGAAAGGTCTAGGCTCACAAAAGTATTATCCATAAAATGCAAAAATTGCCAGGTGTCAATAGCAGGATTTCCATGTTTTCCCATCGCTACTAACATATAACGATCAGAAGCAAAACTACAGCTCCCGCAAAAGTTCAGACTATTTCAAATAGTGACTCGCTACCCTTAAGCATCGAATGAGCTTCAGAGAGGCCAGAAAATGAGTGAACATAAAACGTCCAAAAATCTAACTAGAATTGTTTGGCAAACACATACCGCCAATATTAACTTCATTTGACTTTTACTTCATATAAATGATGGATTTAATTGTCAAAGTGGAAGAACGTTAACGCTTACCAAAATGGAGTTTTGATAGTGTCGCAACTAACGCATACGTAAAGGTTAACGCTGACGTTTAAAGCGCGGTCTTACAATAGCAATTCAACTGCAACTTGGCTGCTCAGCAGAAACTAGCTATGAAAAATCGTTTTAGAATGTCGAGTATGTCCTAAAGCGGTAGTAAACTTCGACCATGTGTGGGATAACTATAAAGTTGTGATCTAATCGCGAGGTCTAACCTAATATGCTTAACATCACAAAACGCATTACACGACAATTTAGGCATGAACGCAACATTACCATTTCAACGGTTTATGGATTGTTAACCAGAACATGAAAAACGAATTCACAGACAACCTATAGTAAACTCCCAAGTCAAAGTTGCCTAGCTTGAAATTTAACCAGCAATTAAAAGTCGTAAGCACTCAATAGATTATAAGTTATCGGTAACGATTACGTATGCCGAAACTCTTTACTGCTGTGGATGTCGGCGTCAAACGCTGAAATCCGTCGTTCTATGAAATGCCTGGTTAGTTCTCGCATTGCCGGTAAACACCGTAACAGTTTGATTATTACAAGGTTTGACTAAGCATTTCAGTTATTCCCTGTAATAACTGAACAATTTCAGTCAAACATCGTAACAACCACATTAACATCGTAACTGCATTTGCCTGATTCAGTTATTCATTGTACCAGTTTTGTGGTTATTTGCCTAAGTATGGTATATCTGAAGTCACTTGAAATAGCATAAAAACCTTTGGTCGGCGTATCATAGGCGTGCGGTGATTTATTTAGAACGATAATAATAATGTTTTTATATCACAATAAATGGATTTTACTATCTTCTTATTTTTTTGATTTGGGATAAAAAATACTTATATTGGGAGTTTAATTTATGTTGACTGAAAGTTAAGAAATGGAAAAATTACAGAATTCCAACGTTTGATATAGGCAAATATTTACATAGCAGGTAGGTATATAAAAAGGTATATAAAGACTTACATTATAGGTATTTATATATCATCCTCGCCTTCGGAGCTGTCGCTAGAGTCATCTTGTAGAGGAATTACAACGGGATTTACAGGAGGCAAAACACAATATTCATTTTCTTTTTCAATAATATGCCTAGAACACTGCTTTCATAGGTCTGTGGCAGCAGTATGAGATACTGCATCTCTTATTGTGGCCAATAGCGATTCACTTAATTGAGGGGTCTGATTATGTTTTCTTACTTTTTTTTTAAAGCAGCCCAGACCAACTCAATCGGGTTAAAAATGCAGTAATAGGGAGGTAGACGTAATACTTCATGGCCATTTTGCTAAAGCAGATTGTCAACAACATACTCTTTTTCAAATTTTTGTCTTTTAATAAGATCCAATAATATGGCTTTGGTTGATTTTTGTAGAATTTCCATTCCCTTATCCTTCATAAAATCAATAATGTCTTGTTTTTTTGTGCCTGTATTCGGAATTTTATTTTTCTGTCGGGAATGGTATGGCGCATTGTCCATAATAATCACTGAATTTGGGGAAATGTTTGGTATTAACTGCTGCTCTATCCACTTTTCAAATAAGTCGGAGGTCATGTCCTCATGATAGTCGGCACATGATTCTTTGATATTTTTGGCAGATAACAGCAAGGCATTAGGTATAAATCCATTTTCACTGCCAGCATGGAGAATAATGATTCGTTTTCCACGGTTGCATGGTGCATTTAAAATGCACTTGTTGCTGTCGTCAACCCATCCGTACTGCACAACATCATGGGTATCATACCACGTTTCATCCAGGTAAATCAGATTTCTTTTCTGCTCTCTATAGATTTTAAAAAATTCTTGGCGTAATTAAACGATTCGAGACGACTCCATAATCACCATTCTTTTATCTAATTTAGTTTTAGTTTTACAATACAGTGCAGTGAGTCTAAGCATTTGTAATTATAAAAATCTTCAGGATAATCTTTTAACTTATCCCGTATCATTTCCAACGTGGGCACCAAATTTTCTTTATAAAATCCGTATATTATACGACGAATATCTTCCTGAAAACCCACGTCTATTCTTTTTAATTTTTGCCCTATGCGCTTTCTGTGGAAGGAATGGTTGACTACATCTCCCCCTTTTATAACCCGATAAATGGTAGACCGACTGATTTTTGTCAGGATACAAATTCTGTTTAAAATTTGATTTTGCGAGGATTCTGGATTTTCGTTTTTCAAACAATCATACATATTTAGGATTACTCTTTGGGTCTGTTCCTCTAAATCTTTATGAAAGAATTCTGCCTGCACAGGTTCATCAACCATCTCCTCGTGGCTTGGAGCATTTTCCCAAGGTCACCAAAGAGCCATATTTAGGACACACAAGAACAATCAACACAACAATTAAATCAACAAGTAAACTGAGTATTCAAAAGTCAAAAACATACAAACTAATCAAATCTATGAAAAAACACGGACAGACTGAAGAAAACACGTTTATTCGCCGCTACACGGCACTGGCTAAACTGTTTCAATTTACAGTAGCCACCTGCACTTTTTCGGAGCTCTGAAATACACGCTTTCTCATTGGCTATGTCCACGCATAGGCGTGCTTTACTCCACGTGGACCGGTGAAACTGCCTTTGATCTTATACGGGGGATATTTGCTGCTAAATTTGGCGATTTTTGTGTTTGTAAAAATGTTGCAGGATTCAAAATTGTTTTACAAGAAACTAAGTGAATATTGTGACAGTGTGGATAAGAAAATACCATGGAATACAAATGAGTTAAAAGAGGTGAGTTAATTTTTATAATTTTGTGAACCTAACCTAAATTATAACGTACATACAAAAAAGAATAATGTAATAATAGACACAACGTTTTAATCTATTCTTCTCTCCTTTTAGATTAATTCATGCTTGATTTTTTTTCTTTTAATATTATTGATAAAGTAGTCCCTTGTTAAAGTATGTACTTCATTGGAGCAACACTGTATTGATTACAGCGTTTGACTTAAATAGGCGAATGCAGTAATTAAGTTAATATGGTTGTTACGGTGTTTGACTGAAATGCTTAGTCAAACGTTGTATTAATCAAACTGTTACGGTGTTTGCCGGCAATATGGGAACCGACTAGACATTTCAGCGTTTGACGCCGACATGGATACCAGTTGCTGTAAGCCTAAAGGAGGGTTTCGAGTATTAAAACAAGAAGCTTGCAATTTGACCTTATTTCTGTATCTCGCTCTTAGGCTTTTTTAAATTGATTTTACCAGTAGAGCTGACCGTAATGTTAGTTCTGTGTATTTCAGAATATGTCAAATGACATATTATTTTTCAGTTACATTGCGTTCTAGACGTTTGAGGTCAAGTCTTCAAACATGTCCTTCAGTACAACTTAAAGCCACTCAGCTTCTACCTATGAATCTTACCAAAATAAAATATAGTGTTTGTCTTTCAAAGCAGATTACCAATATCTGCGGTAAGCGGTGTAAAAGCTTTGCAAGCGCGAAATCAACACAAATCTTTGAAGTTGAGTCATTAATTTTCAGATAATGATTGTAGAAGGAAGATAAACCAAAATATGTGTGTAAAAATAAAAAAAAATAAAAAAAAAATGTTACCTTGTTTTATAAAGTATCCTCCCGACAAGTATTTCAGTGCGGACCTGTATTTGATCGTGCGGTCTTGGAGCACCGGCATGCCTTCCGCTGTGAGGTCCTAAGTCACCTGATTCACGAGCCCTTTGTACTACATAAACAAAGGCACGAGGGGTTGGTTGCACTCGATTGGGAAACCGATTCACATAAATCCGTGATGCCGCGTAAATAAGAATCATGTCCACAAGTTCAGCATTTTCGTAAACATGTGCCATTTTTGATTTCGTTTGAGCCACGCAACAGACACCACTATTCACTCACGCGTTACCGACTGACACTGACTGTATACAACTGAATAAAATAATTGTAAAAACATCGTTCCAAATTCTTTCGCTTTTTTGTTTCCGATGCGATGAACCGATAAGGCGGATTATATCCGTTGTTGCCAAACACGAGCACATAATATTATTATTCAGACAGGGCGGTACTCAAACTTCCAAAGGGCTATAACTTTGTTACTGTAATTTTACCAGAAAAATGGTAAAGGAAAAAAACATTTTCTTTGATCAGATCTACTCACTGTTAAAATAAATGACTCAACTTCGAAGTCACCCTGTATAAACTGAGGTACCCATAGTATGCATACATGTTTTGAATATCTCCCCGAACAACTTGATGAAAAGTAATGAACGTGACATTTATTTCGTGGGTATTTGCTAATATGATTATACGATGCTTGCTAACCGTGTTAAAATTAATGAGAACATTTATTCCTCCTTTTGCGTAATTATTACAAATTCATAATGTCAAGAAAAGGCTCGCTTTGTGAGTAAAATGTAGTTAGGTTAGATTTAAACTTACCGCATACTTCTTGATTATCTCTCGAGCCCTGTCTTCGAAGCTTGGATTGAACATCTGGAAATTCACCGTAAGCGGCTGACTGCGTATGTTCTCGTGGACAGCAATCGATAATGGTGCTGTCATTTCGTGATTATCCTCACTGTACTTATCTCTGCGCATTTTTTTAGACTTGGTGTTTCTCCAGCATACCGCAATAAATGTGATAAAGCTTCCAAGAAGAAAGATCCCAGCTCCGGTTCCGATTATACAAAAGGTGCCACACTTCGCCATTTGGAGCTCTACAAAAAAGTTAGATGCATAATGTACCGAAGTAAAGAAGCCCTAAGCTGCTATTTATTTCAAGCTATTACATGTTTTCATTTCCGGATTCTCTGCATGTGGAAAGTTTTTCTATTCGCTATCAGGGGATTGAGCAAATAAGGCCCCCTTATGTGTCCTAAATTGCTGTGGGTTAACTATGATTTTACTGTTAACTCTTAATTCGCGTTTTCAATGTGAGGTCAACTTTAACCAAACGGCGATCTACGCAAGAAAGAAAACCGTACGCCCGTGAAGCTTCACTCACCTTTTGAGCTCTGTGGAGTTAAAAATTAAGTTTATGGTCAAAATCTACACCTAAATCCTCAATTGATACGATTTATGTAAGCATCACCAATCTGATAATTAAATTTACAGACACGATTTCCTGTAAAAGCTGACTACACTACATTTAGACGCATTAATAAACAAATTATTCTCTTTACATCAAGCTACTAAAGCATCAATATACCGCTGAGGACTTTATTACAACTTAAATATTTCGCAGTTTCATCAATAAAAATAATGTAAACAATAAGGGACCAAGATTTGGACCCTGAGGCACTCCCGATTTACTTATATACTGCTATGACTTGAAGCCATTGAAAGTAACATATTGCTTTCCTTCATAAGGATAACTTTGAATTAATGCTAAAGCGAATGAATGGAATCCATAATGGGAAAGGCTATTTAAAAGTAATCTATCGTTCAACCTATCGAACACATTAGAAAAATCAGTATACGTGTATACACCTAGTTGAGCTTGTCGATCGACTCATTCAACAGTAAACTGAGGAAGGATTGTTAAATTAGATACTGTGGATCTCTTAGGAATCCATGCTGAAAAGCATGAATTGCGGCGAAAATTCTATTATGTAATATAGCATTAAATTAACTAGCAACTTGAGGTTAAACCGCAACGCCTAGCCCTCTTTGCTTGACAGTGACACGAATTACTGTCGCAGATTGAACATCATAGAACGCACAGAACATACTAGTCCAGATATAGAAGCAGTGTTGCCAGATGGACAGTTAATGGTTAGTTATCTAGGATTCGGAAAAAGCATTACCCAACAACTAATAACACTGGACAACAAATTTTAGCTTTTTAATTGTATCTTGTGGGAAAGGTGCACTTCTTTGTCAATTTTGGAGCGCTGAATCCAAAAATGACAATGAAATAAAAAAATTAGTTGCGGTTTAGAAAAAAAACTTTTTACTTTTAAGGATATATTAAACAAAGTAACAAGTTTCATATACTTATAAGAATCACTATGTGCGCTGTCTTTTTGCTGTTCTTTTATGGATCGTTTCTGGAGCATCTCTACCAAGAGTCCAACAGTAGTCTGCAAGCATGGAAGGATTCCACTTTCCCTGGTACCTTTTTTCCATTGTTGAAATATCCTGATGAAAACGTTCGCCGTGCTCACCACTTACGGCTCCGCAATTGTCAGGAAAAAAGTCCAGGTGTGAGTGTAGGAAATGTATCTTAAGAGATATATTTTTAACAAGGGTTTTATAGTTGTCAGCTTTTCTATTTCCCAAGAAATTAGTGACCACCAGACGGAAATCATTCCAAGCAGTTTTTTCAATACCTGTTAAAGTGTCTTTAACTGTGTATCTTTCAAAATATTTCGAATCTGTGGCCCAAAAAAAATACCTTCTTTAACCTTTGCCTCACTTAGTCTTGGAAATTTATGACGCAGGTATTGAAAAGCTGACCCATCTCTATCTAATGCCTTGACAAAGTTTTTCATTAGGCCCAACTTGATATGCAGTGGTGGTAATAAATTTTTTTTCGAATCTACTAATGGCATATGCTGTACATTTTTTTGACCTGGCTCTAGGAATTGACGAACAGGCCAGTTTTGTCTGGTGTAATGAAGTGCCTTTGCCCGACTGTCCCATTCACACAAAAAACAGCAAAACTTTGTGTAGCCTAGCTGTAGCCCAAGTAAAAGTGCAACAACTTTCAAATCGCCACAAATATGCCATTGGTGCTCATCGTATTTTATGCATGTCAATAGGTACTTCATATTGTCATATGATTCTTTCATGTGAACTGCATACCCTACAGGAAGAGATGGTAAAATATTTCCAATATGCAATAACACTGCCTTTAAACTAAATGTTGAACTGTCTATAAACAATCTCCATTCTTCTGGGTTATAGTTTATATTTGAAGCCGCCAGTAAGCCGTTAATGTTACTGAAGAAAACCAAGTTATTCTCCATATTGAAAATGGTTCTAAGTCTTTGTGGCGTTTACGAAAAACACATACTGAAACATCGTCTTCTAACAAGTTCCACGGCTGCAGTCTTGATCCAAGTAACTCTGCCTTACATTTTGGAAGTTCTAAGTCTCTTACAAGATCATCTAGTTCTGACTGTGTTATTTTGTGCGGTTGGTGGCATGACGTGCGCGGTATAAAATCAGGATCTCTTGACGTCGATGGCATGTCTTCTTCCTGACGAATCACTCGATCTCCATGATCTGATTCGCAAGTGTACGATTCTGGGGGTTTTGGAATAGGATTTTCGTCACTGTGAGGCACAGGTCTCATCGCAGATGGTATATTTGGGTAGTTAATAACCGATTTTTTTTTCTTGGACATACCTGTGGCTTGTCCAACACAAGGTACCATGCAAAAGTAACAATCATTAATACGATTTGTAGGCTCTCTCCAAACCATTGCGACAGCAAAGCGCATAGACCGTTTTTTGCTATTTAACCAGCTCCTCAGACTTTAAGCACATGTATTACAGCAGATGTGGGGTGCCCACTGTTTTTCTTGATCACCTAGTTTACAACCGAAATAAAGCTTATATGCCTTTGTTATTAGTGGAGTAATAGACCGTCTCTGAGACGCAAAAGTCGAGACATCTTGCCTGAACGCTGTCGGCCAACTTAGGAAAAAATGGCTAATATAAAACAATATAATGTACACGTATGTATAACGTAACACAATCATGCCGATTACATCATCTTTCCTTGCCGAATATAAAAATGTAGCACGTACATTCTTGTGAATTACAGTATATTAACACTGTCACAGCAGGAACACATATAATTACCGTATCTCTAAAACTTGAACTAATATTGAAAAAATAAGTTTCATTCCGGTTTTAGCACATAAAAATTGTAATATTTTGTTGATTTTATTTAGGATATTTTTGGCTGTTGATCAGTGATAATTAATTAAGAAACAATTCCAAAAAATTAATGGGAATTTGGGGATTTGATGACGTCCTAGCTGTATCACATTCCGCTTTTTGAAAACGCAGTACTAAAGATCTTACAAGTTGATCAACAAATAATCACGACGTATTTGGCATCATCACTACAACTTGAAAGAACTGGTCCGTATTGCACGTAATGCATTAATCTAGCTACCATCAGATCGCGTTCGCACAATATCAAAGAAATCTACTTACCTAAAGGTCTTTCACTGGTCACATTTCTCACTTGTTTGCTGCTGTTTGATTGGTCCAGTGAGTTTATGACATTATTATCTGCAGAATGTTTTCTGCTTTTCTTTGAAAAGTTCTTCTCGTTGTCAAACTTCTTTATGGATGTACAGCCTCCTATTCTGTGGCATATCACTGCTCCACTCGCCTCGTCTATACCCCTTCCGGTTTTCGAGTTGATCTTCAGAGGCAGAAGAGCGTCCGCTGGAGGAAATTTTTTTGTTAGTATAACAGGAAAAATATTGTATCAAACCATAGTGCCATACTATTACTATTTTTTTGTATTTTTTACTATTTCGAGAAAAATATGCTTCTTAATGTGTTCGTCTCACAATATACAGTTTCTACTGTGGATATACAGGGTGGCGCATCGAAAACGAAACACGAAAAACGCCCAGACCGTCGATAATGTTTTCGAGGGGGACACAAGTTTGGCAAAAAAGCACGTTAGCACGTGCAGCTCTCTAAGCGGGGGTGACACCACCCCCAAAATCTTAAACGGAAAGGGGGGTCAAGTGATACCTTATTTTAAAGCTCTTTCAATTCCCTTCATAATGATATAAAACTAAGGTACTTCAGTTCAGTAGTTTTGAAGATTTAGTGATTTAAAGCTTAAATAAAACTAATACATCATCATTAGTGGAGATCAATACATTTGGCAGCAAAGTAATTTAAAAATGAAGAATGAACTCACCCGTTAGGCAAGTGAATGTTGAAAATGGCCACCATGACTCTCCATGCAATAATAAAGATTTTGCTCAAAACGTTGCCGCACATTTTGCAATATTTGAGGAGTAATTTGAAGGCACTCATTCTCAATTCTTTGAGCTGCCAGTAAATGCGTCTGTTTCGTTTTCGATGCGCCACCCTGTATAAAACCCCTGCACAGCTGTAGTAGCTTGTCTGGGGTTGGAGAATTCAAGTAAAACATGTAAAAACAAGAAAAATATATGCTTATTTACATATTAAGTCCTAACTAACTTAGTATTTCCCTTCAGCCAAATTATATCAACCTATTCAAAACAAAACTGGCTGAATAATGCTCATTATGTATTTGATTACTATAGATTGTATGAAGATAGATGCATGCCTTGTCGCTTAGAGTATGTAAGTTACAGTAAGAAAATTTTCTATCCGAGACATGTTATTTTACTTACACGTACAATCTTGGGGACATATCATTTCATGCAATTCTTCTAAAGGGTCGCAGTGTCCGTCTGGACAGGTTTCAGTGTCTGGGGTGCAGGTGGAGTATATGTGAGTGATGTTCTGGGCAAATCTGTCTCCTCTCCACATACATCTTTCAGGTCCCCTCCTAACAAATGTATACACAACGTAGAAAACAATTAATTAAACCACAAGTAAAAAGCGTTGAATGACAAGAAATCAGGAGCTTAACATTACAACATCATCATACTTGACTTAAGACCGCTTGTACAGTTGGGAAAACAAATTCCGATGCTAATTGATAAAGAAACTTCTTCAATGCCTCTCCTGAGCCTATTGTTGTTGTAAACGGCGAGTAAGAATGGCGAGGTAGAAAGGAAACGAAAATGTTTCTTTAGTCCAGAGGGCCTAGCTTTTTTTAAACCTAATTAGTCCATGAAGCTGGTCCCTGTACTGCCATTTTTTTTAATTGATTGGAAATCAATAAAGCAGTCGGCGTGATATCTGGGTGGGATTGATAATATCTCTGCTAAAAAAATACGAAACAAAATACACACTTTACGGTAAAACTAAAATGGCATATGACCTATAGGACCTATAGGATAAATATGGAATCGGAGGGAAACCATTTGACTGGTTCCATAGCTATCTGTCCGATAGAAAGCATCATGTCGATGTACAAAATGCACAGTCCAGCCAACATTTCTACCATACTGGTGTTCCACAAGGTTCCATACTTGGTCCTCTCTTATACGTAATGTATGTCAATGACTTCCCATCCGGTTGCTCGGTAATGTGTGCTGATGAAACTTCTTTACTTGTTACTGGTAAAAACCTAGAATCTGTTATAGGATTTGCCATTTCAAGCTTGACTGGTGCAGGTAAGTGGTTCAGCAACAATGGGCTCGTCTTAAATAATCAGAAATCTGTTTTCCTTAGATTTAACCTTTCAACCTCACCGATGGATCACACTTTATTAATAAAATCGTTTGGCAAATCAATGAAACAAGTGGATGCGACTAAATTTTTAGGGATATATATCGATGCATTTTTGCCAACGTAACGTGACAGTTTTGGTGAAAATCATGTTTTTCCATTAACGTAAGGCTTTTATTGTTGAGAAGGTACTGCCAAAGTGTAGGAAGCCTAGATTTTAGTTTAAATCTCTGTTTTTAACTTTATTTGAAAACGTATGTCCAGAATTTTTTAAATCATATCCGCAAAAGCAACGTAACTTTAACACTATTTCCATCATAGTAATGCAAGCTAACGTTTTTTACCGCCTTAATAACGTAAGTCTTTGTCGGTTTCTGCGACTTAGGTCAGATTCTCGCAGTCAGTGTTTGGCTTTGGACAGTGTTAGGTTCGTGCTACCATCGACTAATTATTGATTTTAGGTAAGTAAATAATAACGAAATTTTTTTATAGTTAGAATTCAAAAATATTACAATCTTAACTGATATTATTTAGGTGCATACCTATAAAATTCCATTTCATATTTAATTTCGTTCATTTATTACAAATGATTGTGTGATAACCTCAAGGTCTGTGAGAAATTTGCAGGAATGAATCGTTTGAAGTTAAAAAAAACGTTTTTTTGTAGCTAGAATTTAAAAATATTAAAACTTTAACTAACATTATGTACCTACATATAAAACTCCCATTTCATATATATTTAATTTCGCTTATTTATTAGAAGTTATTCTGTCATAACCTCGAAGCCTGTGAGAAATTTACAGGAATGAATCGGTTGAAGTTAGAGAAAGACTGTTGTATTTGTTTCTATTATATATTCATAAATGCTCGGTTACTTTCAGATTATGTCTATGGTCAGTTCACGAACAAAAAGGATTTAGGGGGCTCTTAGCCAAAATGATGAATCGTATAATATTTATTCTGAGGAAGAAATCGGGTCTATGCCGATAGCCATTAATTCAAGTGACAATATTTTTGATCTAGATAATTCCGAAAATATTTTAAAAACTACTTTAGTAAATGAAGACGTAATCGAAATAGATCAATCAATTTTATTGTCTTCTAACAATTCGAGTCCTTATGAAAATGATGGTAACCATACTATGCAAGAAGAAATAAATGTACCAATAAGTACTGATATCTCAAATGGGACAGTGGGTGTTCAATTTGAACAGGAATGCGATGTACAACAACATGTTCAGCCGTTAGTTTTTGTGTTGCAAAAAAAGGCTGTTCGAGTATTAGCTAAAATTGGAAGGCTCACTAGCTGCAAGGATTCATTTAGAACATTAAAGATTTTGACCTTACCATCTATCTATATAATATACTCAATATACTTATCCTTGCTAAAACACAATTGAGCAAGTTCAATTCTGTAAGCACTGGTGCTTACTTTACAAGAAACAGTAAAGTATTGGAGGTGCCGTCGCATAGATTAGCGAGAACGGAGGACAGCCCTAGTTACATGGCTATTAAGTTTTTCAACAGGCTCCCCAACAATTTGAAATCACAACCACTGAACACTTTTAAAAGAACAGTTAAACAGTTTTTACTGGAGAAAGCTTTTTACTCTATTGAGGAATTTTTAATGTGTGAATGTCTTGTTTGATTTTGATCATTGTTGTTTGAATGACAATGGTTTGTCCTTTGTTTCGCTTTTTTATATATACATATATGTTTTATATTGAAAAATTATATCTATACGCTAATTTGATTTATCTGTATTCATATTTGGAATATGCCATATGTGGTACGAATATGTGTGCGTCCAGACTAACATGATTTGTTATTAGCTTTTGTAGTGCTCTGACTGACTTATCCTATATCACATCTGTGATCATACAGGACAAATAAATTATTATTATTATTATTATTATATGTCTTGATTTGCAATGGTCCACCCACAGGGCTACAAAATCCATATCGGCGAATTTTGATGATTACTTAACAAATTTTCAAAAACTGTAAAGCAGTTTACTTTACAATCGTTGGACATTAGAGAGAAAGGATATATGTAATGCAGGTCTTTGTCGCATGGTTAATATCACAGCATAACATTAAAAAGTATCATGCAAATGGCGGAGTCTACAGTCGGGAATCAGCGAGAAAAGATAAATGTAATAACATAAAGAATTTCTTTGTGATCTTACAGGTATAAAGGGTTTCTGCTCAACGGTAGACTCAAAACTAGACATTAGCCGCTAAATCGTGACGCCCATTTTTAAATTATCGATCATCTCACGATCCAGCTTTACGACTGCTTTACTATGAAATTAGTATTTCACTTGACGTGTCACTATGCGGAACAAATTTATTAGCACTAATTAATATCCATGCTTTTTCCATCTTCCGTCCCTTCACCATCTGTTACCCAGCCTCACTGAGCTGTAAGCATAACGTACGCGGATGTATGTATATTAATTCATGGAAATATCCGCGTTGCACACATCCAAGCCGGTCAATGCGGACTCCAAGAATTCCTTTTCTAAAATGTTTCATGCACGATACACTATGCTGCACACAACATGTAAATGCACAGGTGGTATTGTTAATGTTAGCCTTTCGTGTTGAGGATCATTATTGTGTAAGGGCAAATTGTTTTGCATATACTAAGTGACAGAAAAAGGAAAAGGTCAGTAATAATGGATTTATGACAAACATTTTATAGGTATAGGTTTGTTCAGCTAGCAAGAAAACCGATTAGATTTTCGACCATATCGATCGAGTGGTTTATGTGATATCGTATGTTCTTACAAAAAAAAAAATAAGCGATAGCTGTGTTGTGTGAATGCAATTGGCATTTAATCTAATCTGTTCGTTCAAAGATAATGAACCACCCTATATCTAGACTGCGTTCGAGAAAATGGCAATAATTTCAAGCAGTTCCTTTAATGTAAAAGACTATTACGGGTTAATATCGAAGTTTATTTTTATGTTAATATTAAGATGAAATACCAAGTGCAGGTTTTGTTTAGTTTTATTATCCGTTAGTGTATAAAATTGTTCACAGCTAACTTAGACTTGTAGCTTTTTTGAAATATATTCGTATGTGTATGTAATATGATAGCAAATAATAGTATATACGTATATAACAAAATCAGGGCCTACTAATACCACCGAGTACGTATATATTAAAACACACACAAAAACGAAGTTAGATTCGGAAAGAATATAAGCATCAAAGTTGTCGTAGTTTTTTATGTTTAATCAAATAACGAATACTAAAGCTACAAAAAAGGCAGTAATATAGCAATAATATTCGCTAAGGTGCCCCCGGAATGCGACTTATTATAATAATTTTAATCTACTAAGGCAAAATTAGTCTCTCAGTACAACAAATAATATCACCAAACTTCAATGGAATCAAGTAAATAATTTTTAAGATAATAATAAAAACAGATTCTTTATAAATCTATCAACCATGTTTATAGAAACCTGATTTAATATATATATACATATATTTACAGGGTGTTTCAGTTTATTGTTGCATAACTTTAAGATTCGATAGAACTTTTAAAATTAATGCATAAAGTCTATACAGGGTAATCCAAATTAAGTGTCCACCATTAGTAACTTTGTTATTAGTGAAAATACAAAGTTGTTTGAATTGGCAAACTAGTAGCATTTTTAACGCTGGTAAAAATGAGAAATAAAAAAAAACAATTGAGAGTCGTTATTTTGATTTTTTTCAGTAAAATAACATTTTTTTAAATGGAAACCCCTGTATATTATATTTTTTTCTGTTAAAGCATCAAATTTTAAACAAAAAAGCTTACAATAACTTTTCTCCTAGGTTACAAATTGTTGAAGTTATGGCCTCCAATCTGAAACAATTAAATTGTATCGACAAACTTTATTTTCAACATCAACTTATAATCTTACAAAATACAATAACAATTTTTTTAAAGAAGATGCTCGAAAACACCACCTTGTTCTTCAATACATTTTTGGGCACGTTTTTCAACTGCTCGAACTGTCTTAAGTATGGTCCTACCATCTATCTGGGTTATCTTTTCCCTAACTGCAGTCTTTAACGCGTCAAGGTTATCGTACCTTCGCTTGTAAATTTGGTTCTTTAAGTAACCCCACAAGAAGTAATCAAGTGGGTTTAGATCTGGTGATCTGGGAGGCCACTGTATTGGGTCATTTGTTCCTATCCACTGATCATTAAAA